GTGCGGGCCCTGAGCTCAGTTCTCACGTGCCCGTCGCACCGTAAAAACCACGGCTTCCCCCGTCTTACGCGCCAGGACAGTGACGCTCGGAGAGAGGGAGCCGTAACTGGTGCAGAGGCCGAGCCGGGAGGGGCGGCGCCGGGAGCGGACCAGCTCTGTCGGACCTGGCTGTGCTGGTGGGCACACCGTGCAGGGGTAGCGCCGGCAGCCCGGCCTGGCCGGCGCCCGGGCCGCGGAGCGTGCACGCCATGCTCACTGTCAGCACATTCGAGGAACGGCAGCCCCCCCCCGCCGGGATGCTGCGCCACGCTGAAACTAAGGACAAAAACAGTGCTGGCATTCAAACCGGCTTCTGAGAAACCCTCGGACCTTCCAGTCCATGGGCCGGGAGCTGGGCAGAATGACAGACGGGTGGGGTGGGGGTGCTGGTGGAAACAAGGTAGCACCCTGAAAACGTGCCTTCTCGCAAGTCTGCTGCCGGTGGGCCCCTCTGAGAGACCACCTCCACGGTGCAGCCCTCGCCCTGGCCACTCGCCTGGCCCCTTGCCCTGGCCCCGGCCCCCGGCCCCCAGCCCCTGGCCGGGAGGAACCCACCCAGCCCCTGTAACCCGATCCCCCCGCGGCGGTGAGAGGGTTCTAGGCCACAGCATGTAAGTTAAACACAGCTGCGAGCTATTATGCTGCAGCGCTGTATCTGCGTTAACCCGCCAACTTTTGATAAAAATTTTCACTTGTTAGAGTCACCAGGGAACGGGGCCGTCCTGGCTCCACATTTGCTAACTTCCATTTTCCTTGCTCTCTGCCAACCCTTAACTCACCGTCTGCCTGGCTTCCTCTGAGCCCCGGGACGATGCTCGCGCGGCCCCCCCTGCAGAAGGGAGCCGCAGCCAGCTCTACCCCGTTATCGACGGCACTTGGAAATCCGAGCCTTCAAAGGCTGAGCTCACCAGGCAAAACCCTTGCTTTGGGGAAAGTGGTCACACCGCAAAACAGGCACCCTGGTAACAAGGTCCCTGGATCGGTGCCCCTCCCTCTGGCGGTGCGCCCGGCGCAGCCAGGGGTGTTCTGCCGCAGCACTGCTCTCGTTCACCCACTCATTCCCCGCTCATTCAACACGCAGTGACTGGGGATCCACTACGCCCCGGGCACGGGGATAACGGCAGGGTCTCCCAGGAGGCAGATCTCCAGGACCAAGTGCACGGGACCCTCCTTCTCTGCCCTGGTGCTTCCAAGGGCCTGTGGGGGAGTGAAGGAGGGAGGCCCCCTGGGTGCAGTAGGTCAGTGGTCGGCCTGGAGGGAGAGGAAATCGGAAGAGGAACTGAAGACAAACAGTACTGCAAAGACACATTCAGCTTTAACAGTAGTCTGCAGGTTAATAGTAACATCGATATTGTTACTTTAAAACTATTTTTATATGTGATGGGATAATGCAAAACAAGTAATTATTTAAGGTTGTTAGGGTCCAGTTGTCAACGTCACAAACAACATACGAAAACCAAGGGAAGGACGCAAACGACCCCGTCAGGTCAGACTGGGAACGGGAGGATCAGCACTGCGGCGGTCCCGTCTCTACAAGGCAAGGGTGACGCCCGGCCCCCCCACCCCAGCGGCTCCCAGCAACAGTGTGTCTGCCGCGCTCGGGGGTCTGCAGAGTGGCTGCAGTTCAGCCGGCCTCTGCCGGGCCCCCCCGGGCAGGGCCGGACTTCGGGCTCTGGGTTTGGGATTCGGGCTGAAGGAGCAGCAGCTACCGGTCCACCACGGAGGGTGGGAATTCCTCTTTCCACCTCAGTCCGCCACTTGCATTACTACCACTCGCGCCTCAGCCACAGGGCCAAGCCCAAGATCTATACGAGGGGGCACCACACGCCACCCACAGGGTGGGAAGCTGCGACGAGGGTGAGGAGGGAAGCACTGTGAAGAAAGGACACCACCTGCCCGAATTACAGTCTCATGGGTTTTCCTCTCAGAAAACAACCACGCCCCAGCCCCGTCCACGGAAGAGACCGCGCAGCCCAGCAGCAGCGGACGTCCTCGCGCCCAGGTGGCGGTCTCTAGACACTCTTCCCCGCTGGGAGAGGCCAGCGGCACCCCCGACGGAACGAAAGCCCGAGTCCGGGTCTTCGGGAGGAAACGTGCAACAGCACCCCGGTCACCACCTCCGGTTGTCCCAGAGAGCAAGGACGGCGTCACGAAAAACGGACGGGCCGTGCTGCAACAGGAGCCGACAGGAAAGGGCTGGGCTCCTGCTGGCTGCAGACGGGACACCGCAGGCACCAAAGGACACAGTGACTGACTGATCGCAACACGGGGTCCCAGCCCACTCGCACCCCGGGCATCGGAACCTCCAGGGACGGCGGAGCCCGGGCACCCGGGTTTTGGACAGAGCTCCCCCGCTGACTCGGACGCGCGGCCAGGGCCCCACAGCACCAGTCCGCGGGCTTCCTCGCCCTGGGGGAGCCGGTCGCTCACGGGGCCCGTCTTGCTCTCAGATGCTGGCCTCTGCCTCCTGCAAGTCTTGCCTACAACCAACTAAAAACTGTCCCCTATTCATGTCCTTCCAACTCCGGGGTGGCCACCCACAGTGTGGAGGGCATCTTCAAGGGAAAAAGCAATTCTAGTTTTCAGTCTGCTAACAAAAATAAAAACAGTGAAAAAGCTGGGGTAGCTCCCAGGGTCCTCCTTTTAACCGCAATGTTGATGATGACAATGAGGAACAAACGCTTCCATTTTTAGCTAATGTATCATGGATCCAAGGCATTCAAGTCTGGGGTTTCTCCAGATACCTCAAAGCAACTAGTTCTTAATCTCCACTCTGCCCCAGAATCCTCTGGTGAGCTTTTACAAAATAGGGCTGACTGGGCTCTGGGCCCCGACTCAGAGAGGCAGGCTCGGTGGTCTGGGTGGCGCCAGGGCACCCCGTGTCTCAGAGGCTGCCCAGGCGATTCTGATGTGTAGCCACAGTTGAGAGCCACTTCTCCAAGCGAACAGAATCTTGAGAGCAAAACACCCCTACCTTAATGTCTTGTCACAACTTGAAACCAGCCATGCCTTGGATGAGGTGCCTTCCAAACCGCAGTGCCCGGGGGACAGCCTTGGTCTGCCCCTGCTTGTGCCTCTGACGAACCCGCACCCCGGCCCTCCCGCCGCCAGCCTCCCTGGGCGCACGCAGGTTTGGGGTTCAGGGCTCACGGCACGCTGGACTGCCCTCCCCACTGGGACGAGAATAAAGATCCGAACGTCTGAACCACTCCAGATGAAGGCTAAGCAGCGAACATGATCAGAAATAGTTTCAGCTGAGAACTAAGGTGACCATCAACCCACTACTCCCCCGAAAGGCTCCAAGAGGTAGTGAGTGGGTTGTTTCCGCTGTTTTAATTAGAAAGGACAGGTAACTCCACATTAGATAAAGCAGAAAGAGACTGGAAGTCAGCCAACTCGAGAAAGCAAACAGCTCTGCTCCCCGAACCCGACAGAACCCAAGGCACACGCGCACACACAAACAGCGCAAATCACTGCCCCGTCTCCCCGTGAACGCTGACGGCAGCTAAGGACGCTGGTTCCTTCCTGAGCTCTGGCAGGGGCGTCCAGCAGGCGGCCTGTGGGCCGCATGCGGCTCGGGGTGGCTCTGAATGCGGCCCAACACAAAATCGTAAATTTACTTAAACCACGGTGAGATTTTTTGTGTGTGTGATCACAAGTTGCAATGTCTTTACTGTGTGGCCCAAGACGACCCCTCTCCTTCCAGCATGGCCCGGAGACGCCAGAAGGGTGGCCGCCCGCAAGGGTGAGACGCCAGCTCCCAGGGGCCCGGCCCACCGTCTCACTCTGTATTCAGTGCCGCTTCTCTCGGTCCTGGCAGCTCCCCTCGAGTAACAAGGGCACGCTGGGAGTGTTCGGGAACGCACAGCGGCCACTTTTGGTGGCAGCGGACGCCTCTGACACACACAGCTCTGCAGCCCTTCTCCCTGAAACCTGCCCCCACTCGCGAGGCTGCCCCTCCCGCGGTGCTCGCTCGCCTCGGCCACGCGCCCCTGCCCTCAGTCACGGCACCGCCCCAGACACCTGGCTGCGCCGGGCCGGGGCCGGCCGGGGCCGGGCCTGGGCGGGGCCGGGCCGGGAGTTGCTGGTCTCAGTCTACAGGGCGGCGTAAGTGGGGACCACGTGAACTCGGGCCCCGTGGGGAGGCCGAGTTAAACCGGGCGGGCAGGCAGGAGTGGAGGCCGGAGAGAGGAGAGGGAGGGGCGGGGGCAAGACGCACAGACGGCCTGGACGCTGGCTGGGTCTCCAGGCGGCCTGAGCGCCACGTCCACCCGTGTGCTCTGTGTAGGAACGCCCCTTCCAGCCCCATAATAAGTTCCTCCTCGGCCCGTCACAGCTGCTCTGGAAGGCACTCCTACTCCTTGCTAATAAAGAAGAACCCCGGCTGAAATCCCTATGAAGCCTCGTTATCGACAGCTCGGCATTTCCAGGAACGTTTTAAATCAGCTTGTTTAAGTCAACTTTTTCTCCTTTATTGAGTATGCTGTTTCCACAAATGTACAGTGCAATCTAATGTGAATACGTATGCATTTTGCAGTAGCACCTTGTTTCAAAACCAGACACAAGGCCACTGCCAACATTCGGGATCGGCAGAAAGAAAACTCTCTAGAAGAAACAGTTCCCTCACACCCCCTTCCTGACGGGGACCGCCGCCCGCAGGAAGAGCCTGGGACGAGTAATTAGCGTGGCGGGACCCGGCTCAGGCAGGGAGACCACGGGCACCAAGGGCCGCAGCCCTGCCGGAGGGGACCGGATGTGGGGGCCAGGCGTGGGGACATTCTCTGGGGAGTCCAGACGCCTGACTCAGCGAGCGAGCGCCCTCGGCAGTGGGGCGTCTCTGGGCGCCCTCTTTAACGGGGCTGGGATCGATCGCGTGCGCGTGCAAAGACGTCAAGAGAGAAACCGAGAACGGAGTCACTCTGACGCGGCTGTGGGGACAGCGTAAAGGACAAGGTACAGACCTCCGGCTGGATGGCTTTGAACACGGGGATGTCCATCAGCGTGATCTGGCTCTGCAACGAGAGAGAGAGGCGGCGTTAGAAGACGCAGAGGCAGCTGCTGCGTCATTCTGAGTCTGTACGGAGCAGTCACACATTCTCCAAAGTTACACTCAGCCCCCTGAACAAAAATCAAGACAGAACAGAGTGAAAACACAGGCAAACTTCTAAAACGCCTCTCCCACCCCTCCCCTCATCATCAATCCCGACCACACCCTTCTCTCTCGGATGTGAGATGAACTTAAGGGCTGAGAACAGTTTGAAGTGTGGGACTGGGAAGGAGGGGGACATTTTTTACTCTGGATATTTTTGTACAATTTAAGTTTTTTTTCCACGCATGAATTACTTTTGTAATTTTAAAAAAGTTGGCAATAGTACAAATTAGAATGCTACACAGAGACACCATTACTCTCAATTTAATTTTTTTAAGTTGCGGCTTACAGAAATTGTCCATGTCTTCTGAAGTCTAAGGCTCCTCCAAATTATATGGTAGCACGACATTCAAGACGCCCCTGCAGACCAGTGCGGGACCACAGACTGTTTACTCCGCAGCCCACAGTACATGAGATAACTAGAGAACTGGAGAGCAAGCTTTGGGAAACTCTCATAGCAGTTTGCCACAATACTCTCACTGTACTTTTTAGAGCACTAGTCTTCTGTAGATTGGAGATGGAAGAGAAACGGATCCTTCACCACAGCTAGCTGAGAAGCACTCACGTGGTGGGCACACAGAGCGCGCACGTCTGGTTCAAGGCTGTCCCCGCCGTCAGAAGCCCGCTGAGCAACGTGACGGGGGCGGCACTGCCAGCAACTGCTCAGGCCACAGCGCGGCCTGAGCTGAGTTCACATGACCTGCCCGTCTCCACATGCCACACGGGATGCCGGGCGTCGCACAACAGACACGCTGTGAAGCCCAGGGAAAGGCGAGCGGCCGGCCTTCGGGTGCCTCCGGCAGCAAGAAAACGCCCCCCGTCCACCCAACCCAGGTCAGCGGGGAGGACTCGATGCCCAGGACCGGGTGCGTGTCTGGCGCTGTCGCCGGACAGCGATGTTCTGCGGGACACCCGACAGCGCTCCCAGTCTCAGGTGCCACATCGGGAAAGCGGTAACGACCGTCTCCGTCTTACAGGATCTCAGTGAGAACTCAAGACGCAGGCGCAGAAGGCCGGGCACCTGACAGATGCTGTGTGCACGCGTGTGGGCTGCGGGCGGGCCTGGGCACGGTGTGCGTGCGCAGAGAGAGCAGCCACGCGCACGCGTACGGGGGAGAGCCTCTCTGAGCGGGGAGGGAAGTAGGCAGGCGGCGTCGGTGGAGAGCCCCTCCGTCCCCTCGGGAAGGCCGGTGCTCTTCACGGGCCCAGAGGGGACATGCCGCCACTCAGGGAAGCCCGGCGGAGAGACAGCGGGTCGCGCTGGAGGGAAGCCCTTGGGAAGCCGCCCTCTCCCACCTCCCGGTCCACCCACTGGTGGGGCGAGGGGGCTCTGGACACCAGCACACGTGGATCCGGCCCTCGTAATCTGGGCGTCCAGTGACGACTACGCCCGGAGGCCTCCGGGCCGGCGCGTCTGGCCCAGGCAGAGCAAACAGACTGGCACTTCTCCTGCCAGGCCCGTGGAGACTGCTGGCCCCGCACTCCGCCACTTGGATCGGCTCTGCCGTGGCAGGGAACAGAACGGCCTTGTGAAAGCAGATCTGAGCTGGGAGCTCGGAGGGCCTCGGAAACCCCTCCCGCGGCTCCAGCCCGAGCTAACTCCCATCCCGGAGAGCCGGCAGGATGTTTGCGAGGTCGTTCAGGAAAAGGACCAAAAGTCTGCTAATGTGAAAATGAGAAAACTTCCCCTCCATCCTGCCGTCGGCTCTACGGTTTGCTACTGAATTTCCAAACGGTTTATTAAAATAGTGACTTTATGTTTCATGCACTTTTTGGATGGTCCAGGTTTCGAACATTCTGATCCCTGCTGACTGTAAACCAGAAAATGCGCTCAAGTGTTTTATTCTAAACAAACGGGATCAGCAGGGGTCACCGGGCTTAAAGCAGACGGGCCGGCCCCAAACACGCAACCTGAGGTTTTCAGAGGGCTGCGTTTCCGTCCATCCACTCAATCCCATCCGAGAAGGACGCAGTGTCCAGAGCAAGGATATATCAACATGTGGGAAAAGTCATCCAATTACCAATTTCAGGGCATTTTACCACAAAGCAAACACCTGTGAAACAGGCGGCAGGTGAGCAGTCCTTCCCGGGAACTTGGGGAACCCCAAGGCAGACAGTTTTACCAAAAGCTTGAGGGGGGGCAGTCAAGGTCCTGTCCCGCTCCCCAGCAAGCTCTCAGCCCTCCCTGGGGAGAGGCGCCCCGCTTCCTGGAGAGAAAGGGCGTCCCCCAGGGGTGTGGCGCCGCCGCTACAGAAACACAAGACGACGAGACTCTCTGCTTTCCCATCCTTTCCAAGCAGCGCGCCCGAGGTGGTGCACGGGGGGAGCACGTGCGGGGACCGACGAGAACACTCACGAGCAAGCATCTTACTGGCTTCTCCTCATTTCTGGAAACGAAGCCTCAGCACAGGATGTCCAATTACGCTAGTCACTTGGCAACGCGTTCTTTAATCCTGACCCCTTCTCCCATGTCCTCCCCTTCCTCCAAAATTCCAGCCTTTTAGGGAAATGGCCAAATGCCGCATATCTCAAAACATTTCTGTCGATACGCATCCTTCAGAATGGAGAGACCTCTACAGCACCACGGCGCAATGTGGCCCTTAGGAAAAAGGTGGTATTTTGTGGATAAATGAAAGCTGCTTGGCCAAAAAGAAGAGAGAAATGTCTTGCGCATGTTAAATGCAGTGTGTCTCCTCTCCAGCAGCGGCCCTGGGCCCTCCCTCCCCGGCTGCAACCTCAGTGTAAGGGCCTCCCGGCCCCCAGATAAACTAACAGCAACAACAAAGGCTGTGGGCCAATCAGTGGGGAGCCTTAGGCGGGAAACTCTCTTCCCACGTGCATTCAGATCCCCCTCCAGTGCAGAAGCAGGAGGGCTCCCAGAACACGCACTGACCGGTTCCAAAGACACGTGCCTGCTTCTCCTCCCCGGGCCACGGGAAGCCCGTGTCGGCACAGTTTCGGAACCGGAGTCGAGTGAATGCAAATTAAACAGCAAGATACGCTCCGTCATCCGTCAGAGCCACCCGGGCCGATGGGGCCACGCGCTGCTTCGTCTGTTCTTCTGGGAAAGTGATCTGGCAGTAACTCATGCAAGTTTTTAACTTTCTGTTTTCTTTCAAATGTCAAACTTACAAAAAAGTTGCCAGAATAACATGTTGAACTCTTACAACCTTTCACCTACCTTAACTAATTATTAGCATTTCCCCTCAGCTGCTTTATGTCTATGTATATAATTATACACGCACATTCTTTCTGAACCATTTGAGAGTAAAATGTGAATACGATGACTCTTCGGCCCTAAATCCTTTGGCATGTCACTTCCCGAGAACAAGATGACCCGCTTACATAATGGTAAACTCACCACGGCCAGGAAACTTATCATTAGTGCAACAGTATCATCTAATACACAGTCCACATTCAAAATCTGCTGATTATCGCAATACTGTTTCTCATGGCAGTGCTGTCCTGCTCCAGGATCGTTCGCTGGGTTGAGACATCATCTCCTAAACAGTGAAGTGAGCCCACTGCTGGCCCGGCAACCCGACACCTACAGACAGAACAGCACCGGTGTAGAAGGAGGCTCTGCACAGAGGTCCACACTTCGCTACAGACAGAAATACAGAGGTTTACTGCACCCTCATTTTTGGTAGCAAAAAACTGAAAACCACCTAGAAGGCCATCAAAAGGGACCTGCTGGAGAAAAGAACCCAGGGCATGCCCGCACTCCGGAACGCCATGCGGCCGTTAAAGACAGAGGGTTGGGTCTAGCCGTGCCGACCTAGGAAGATGTCCACGACCCATCGACTGGTGACAGAGACAGGTTCCTGCACGCCTTCCGCTCTGCTCTCAGCCGCTGAGGGGCAAGGGCACTGCGGCCTATCTGTAAGCACCCCCAGGGGATATGAGAACCTTTTCGGTAATTTTAACCCTTTTCATTATAAAGTATCACATACTTACAGAAAACTGCATTAAACAAAGGCATGGTTTGATGACCGATAATAATATTATAAATACACACCTTGTAACCACCACCCAGGTCCAAAAATAGCCACGCCAATCAAGAGATGAACAGACAAAAAGAAAAGTGTGGCACGCATGCACCATGGAGTTTTATCCAGCATGAAGAGGAAGGAACTTCTGATTCCAACCTGCCCGGAGGTGGATGGACCTCAGGGACGCCGCACTAAGTGGAATCAGCCAGTCACAAAAAGACAGATGCTGTGCGATTCCGCTTACAGGAGGCGCCTTGAGTAGTCACTTTCACAGAGACAGAACGTGGAATGATGTTGAGGGCAGTGGGGAATGGAGAGTTGTTCAATGGATACAGAGTTTTGGGTTGGCGAGACGAATACAGTTCTAGAGATTATATAGCACAATAATGTGAATGGGCTTAATACTACTGATCTGTACGCTTAAAAATAGTTGAGATGGTAGACCAGGCCACGTGACTCAGTTGGTTGGGGCGTCATCTCATACACCAGAAGGTTGCAGGCTCGATTCCTGGTCAGGGCACACACCCAGATTTCAAGTTCGATCCCTGGTCCCCGTGAGTACGGGGGGGGGCAACCGATCTGTGTGTGTCTCTCTCACTCTCTCGCATCAATGTGTATGTGTGTCTCTCCCAAACAGATACACATCCTTGCATAAGGACTTAAAAATATGTAGTTAGGAGGGTGTTACATTACATGTAATTCACAATGTAAAAAAAGTTACCTCCGACTTCCTCCCTGTGCCGGGTCCCAACCACGAGTCCCTTCCTCCTGTTAAAAGTCACCACTATCCTGACTTTCCTCATGTCTTTACAATTTTGTCAACCAAGTGTGTGCCAAGGCATCGCAGCAGCATCTTGCCTTTTCTAAAAGT